ATGAGTTTACGATAGATAGTATTAAAGGGGTGATGAACTGAGAAATCGAATTTTCCTTGAGCTTTTGACATCTAAGAGGTCATCATATTATAAGAATATCCTGTAAGTTTCAGAACTGAAAACGTCCTTGTTAGTCCAATAAAAGCTTTTATTGACACCAGCCTCAGCAAACGACTCATTTTTCAAAGTGGGGAACTATGAAGGCAAAGAGGATAAAACAGCACCCCCGCAGAAGATGATCAAAGCCTACTTCAACACCGATTCGGCCACCAATTCGCGCATTACACGCATAGCTAAATAACATAGATGCCTACCTTGTGATGACAAACCGGATCAAGCTACCAAGTAATACAGGATATTGTGCAGTGCCTGGTTGTGGAAGAAGATAGTCGCTGCATAAGCTTCCGCTGGATTCCAATAGGACTGCATGGATAAACTTTATTTTTAATGATGATCAAGCTGCTGAAGTAAAACATTGTCCGTCTGTTCGCTTCATTTCACTGAGGATTGTTTTGTAAACATGACTGGATTTGCAGACCGATTAAGAGTAAAGAACGGTGCTGTGCCGTCTATATTGGATCTGACAGGACTCTGGGTCAAACATGTATGGGCGAATCATTCCGGTTGCCATTTTACAACATTGGACGTTTTCAAAACAATTTCCGCCAAGTGCATCGACGGGTGAGTTGAAACTCATTATAATATGCAAAACTGTTATCCACTCACAGCAGTGGGTGTTTACTTCCAAGTCTTCAGTGCGAGACGCCCATAAAAACCGAGCGTTTTTCAACTAGGGTCCAAAATAGCCTATTACTTACTCATTGTGATGTTTTTGAATGCAAAAACCAAGCGAACGTCATAAGTTGACCTCAGACAACAATATAATAACATTTAAAAAGCCAGTTCATGACCCCTTTAAATCCCGCCCTGCATTACAAACAGATTTTTACTGCATATACATTTAAATATAAAGCTGCCCTGATCTGAACATGCGGTTCTGTGGCTAAATAAACAAATCATGTCTGCCGGGCGATTCTTTTCAGCCTTTGGAGGAGAAATGCTTTTAAACATGGTCTTTATTAGCGCAGATGCCATGGCACAGAGTCTCGCCATCTGTGGACAGCACCGATTGTGCGGTTTGTTTGTGGGGGAAAAAAAAAACTGTGGGACTGATTCTTGTCTCTATCCAGAGTTGCATTTTGCCTGCTGGGAAGCTGCTAAAGGCGAATTTCTTGATGCCCATACAGGGCTTTTAAACCTACAATAACAGGCCATTTGCTTTTTGATTCCTCGAGATGTTGGCAGAGTGCTAAAAGACACTGGCATGGAACAGTGACTGTGATCAACATCTTCACTCATTGGTGAACTTGGTGTGCTTTCCTGGAAAGAATCCTGGAAATAAATCATGGTTTCCACAAAAATATTAATCAACTGCTTTCACCATTGATAATAATAATTAGAAATGTTTCTTGAGCACTAAATCAGCATTTTAGAATGATTTCTGAAGGATCATGTGACACTGATGCTGAAAATTCAGCTTTGATCACAGGAATAAATTACATTTTAAAATATATTACAATTCAATTGTAATAGTATTATTCAAAATGACAGTTAGAGACAGTGTCTACAACAGAACTGCATTTTTTTATCAAAATAAATTCAACATTTGCAATAAGAGAAAATCATTCTGTGATCCTGAACAAAATTAAAGTTGCTGTTTTGCATACAATAAAAAAAAAAAATTGTGTCAAAACTGTCAAGCTCCAAAATGAACAAAAATATAATAAAATATTCCATATAGTCTTTTTAAAAGCAATATGAAAAACATATTTGCGTTAAAAAAACAGCATAACCACCACATTATACAGTATATTCAATAAATGTAATTATTTGACATTTTTGGTGCTTTCCCATTATCTTCATTGTATGGAAAACAACATGAATATTCTTCAAATCATCTGCATTTGTGTGGAAGAGAGAGTCACACAGGTTTGGAACAAGATGAGGGTGAGTAAATGATGACAGAATATTTGGGTGATCTATCCCTTTAAAGCTGTCTGCCACATAAAACGCACATTCATTTATGATACACCACCACTAATTTGTGTCACGTTCTTGAAAAGCGTTCCAGCTCTTAAATTGTGCGTAATTAGCCGAGGCATTCAAAGCCACACGTCTGTAAAAAAAAACCTCATTCCAGGAACCGAATGAGAGACTCCAGCTGGATTTCTCCACTCGTGTGATATTCTCTAAAGATATTAGAGCCAGATCTCCATGCCATGGAAGTCTATTAATGTTTGGAAAGTCTTACACTAACACACGGTGGCAGAACCCGGCCTGCAGAACGAGAAAGAAAGTCCAAGACAAACTCTCAGCGTCCCTCCTCAACACCTGACACGCGAGCGCACGCACGAAACATCTGGAGCCGAGGCCATCAGGATCTGCGAACGTCACTGCTTTAAGTGTTTGCTGACAGGGGGAGCGGTCGGCGACACTGGGAGACTAGAAACACTTTTAAACAGAATCAGTTTAAACATTTACTCTGCCTGCAGAGCCACACAAACACTCTTTTACAGTTTTAAAAAGACCCTCATTAAACATTAATCTCTCCATATCCCAGCATAACGTCAATACAATTTGAAGCCAAAGCGTCTTTCGTATGTCTGCCAACTCGAGAAACTCTCATACATGTCGGCCAACTCAAAAAAGCACGGGCTCTGTTCCAAATGCAAGTTAGCTGCCCTTCTACCTACTGTCGACTTTAGCAGCTCCCTTTTAAGGTTGCATCCAAACTAAACTGATTGGAAATGTGTGATGACCCAGTTAAAAAAATCTATCACGCCACACACACGCGCTCCTCAAGTGCATTAGACATTAATCTAGTGTTCGTAGTTGACCACATTGGTCTAGATGTTGGCATGTTGCTAAGCTAACAACCCTGAATGGATGGACATTTGAAATACTGTAGAAAGATGGATGGAATGGACAGACAAAACAATGGATATATAGATAGACAGACAGATTTTTGAAGATGGATGGATTTTTGAAATACGATGGATGGATGGATGGATGGATGGATGATGGATGGATGGATTTTTGAAATAAAATGGATGTATGGGAGATGGATGGATGGATGTACATTTTAAATACTATAGAAAGATGGATGGATGGATTTTTGAAATACAATGGATGTATAGGTTAAGGATGATAGATAGATAGATATATAGATAGATAGATAGATAGATTTTAATACTATCCAAACTATATACTATATATACTATACTATTTATAAAGATTAAAATACTATATAATGAGATGATGGATGGATGGATGGATGGATGGATGGATTTTTGAAATATAATGGATGTATAGGAGATGGATGGATGAATGGATGGATTTTTTAAATACTATATGAGATGATGGATGGATGGATGGATGGATGGATGGATCATGGATGGATGGATGGATGGCCATTTGAAAGACAGACATATTTTTGAAATACAATGAATGGATGGAAGGATGGATTTTTTAAACACAATGGATAGATAGATAGATAGATAGATAGATAAATAGATAGATAGATAGATAGATAGATAGATAGATAGATAGATAGATAGATAGATAGATAGATAGATTTTTTTTTAAATACTATATAATGAGATGATGGATGGATGGATTTTTGAAATGTAATGGATGTATAGGAGATGGATGGATGGATGGATGGATGGATTTTTTAAATACTATATGAGATGATGGATGGATGGATGGACATTTGAAAGACAGACTGATTTTTGAAATACAATGAATGGATGGAAGGATGGATTTTTTAAACACAATGGATAGATAGATAGATAGATAGATAGATAGATAGATAGATAGATAGATAGATAGATAGATAGATATTTAATATACTATATAAAAAGATGATGAATGGATGGAAGGATGGATTTTTTAAACACAATGGTTAGATAGATAGATAGATAGATAGATAGATAGATAGATAGATAGATAGATAGATAGATAGATTTTTTTAAATACTATATAATGAGATGATGGATGGATGGATGGATTTTTGAAATGTAATGGATGTATAGGAGATGGATGGATGGATTTGAGATGATGGATGGATGGATGGATATTTGAAAGACAGACAGATTTTTGAAATACAATGAATGGATGGAAGGATGGATTTTTTAAACACAATGGATAGATAGATAGATAGATAGATAGATAGATAGATAGATAGATAGATAGATAGATAGATAGATAGATAGATAGATAGATAGTTAGTTAGTTAATATACTATATAAAAAGATGATGAATGGATGGATGGACATTTGAAATACTATAGAAAGACGGATGGATAGTTAGCTAGATAGAATGACCTAGGAATAATACTAGAATAATGACTCAAGATGGAATAATAATTAATGCCAAATAATCTCCAAAACAATGACTATTTTAGGATGAACGCAACACGTTTTCTCAGGATCGGCGTCCCTCAGGTGACATCAAGTCTGAAGAAGTTGCTCAATGCAAATCTAAACCATGGGGTTTTTATTGTACAATTGTGGAGGCCACTGAGGTACTGGCAAACGAGGAGATGAAATTATACAAATTTTCCTATTAATAAGTAAAAAGTGCTGGAGAGAGAAGCACCCAGGGGGGCCAGCACTGGGAAAATACAAGGTGCTGGAAAAAGACCAATGTTTTCCACTCGTACGACGGAAGAGTGTTCTGGGAAACCCGCTTCTGTCTGCTCGACTGGCTGCAGGCGCGGAGAGAGAGAACAATATCCAAGGTTGAATGAAGTGGACACCAGAGAGTAAGACAACCAGAATTATCACTGACATTTTTATGGCCGCAGTCGCAGGAGTTTATGGGTATCATATGCAACATTAGATAACAGGCCTCCAGCAGTCTGGATACGCTATGAGCCGATCGACCGCGATAAAACGAGTAATTAGATGGAGGAAGTGTGTAAATCTGAGTGATGTTACCTGGATCTCTGACTCTGGTCCAGCACTGCCCGTTTGGCTTGAGTCTCCAGCTGCTGAAGATGACGGTGGCGACGCTTGCGACACGGGGCCACATCTGTGATGTCGTTCAGGCTGTCGTCCATCGGGCTGCTTTCTGGCATCTCTGTTACATAAAACATGGGAAAGTTCAAATGTTAAAGTTCATTCACTGTTCATTTTTACCATTTTTTCAGTTGTAGTCTTTGTGTTTTGATGAAAATGTACTTTACATTTGAACAATATTTCATTATGTAAAATACCATGTATGATATGATTAAGTATTTCAGCAGATTTTTTTAAATTTTTTTTTAAATGTATCAATTTTTTTAAAAAAAAATTTAGATTTTTTTTTAAAAATCTATACACTAATATACAGTATAAAAATTTTACATTTTAACATTAAAATGTGCAGAAATAACAATGTGCATCGAACATAGCAAATAATAAACAAGTTTGGGAAAATAACTTTACATTTTAATGTAAAGTAAACATTTTAAGGAAAACATTTTAATTTACATTAAACATCGGATGAATCCCAAACATACTATGGCTGAATATTATTTATATATTACTAAAAAACCTTAGAGTTATGATATATTGAAGGACACAGGTAAATATGATATTTATTATAATGGGTTTATGTGAAGATTGTTTTAATTTCACTTAAATTAAAAAGTTGCTATAATTTTTTTTAATATCATAAATGTTCAAATTAATAGCTCTCAAATTAAATGCTCAATAGCTATAAATTATGGGGAAAAACAATTTCATAGAGACATTAATTATGAAAGATGCCATTAAACAAATATTTAAAATATACTTTTATATTCTATGGTTTCAACATTAATTTGGAGTTTAAATGTGAAATTATTACAATATAAAAATATATATTGAAAACTTCAATGTTAGGAGCGATTCATTAGAGAAAAATGTGTAATTAATTATTTAATTTGTTTAAATCGATTATTATTATATTTAAATAAATTATGTTTATATTTCTATTCTCCTTTTATTCGAAATGTTAGTGCACTGTTAGTGTCTTAAATAGTTTATTTTATTAACAGCATGTAATAAAAAATGTGTTTGTCTAAGAATTAATTTATAAAAACAACTATTATTAACTAAATGATTTGCCAAACATTTCATTTAATTTTCAAACACATTTAAATTAAGGGTTGCCAACCTGATTGATTAATACCATTTGGAAATATGAGCTACATAGCCATCTGCTGCCAATTTAATAATTTCAGTTAAAAAAACGACAAGATGAGCTATTATTTGTGAATGTTTGTATGTATAATAGCTCTGAACAGGATTAATAGAGGTTCTCACAGGCAGTATTCAGGCAGCCGGCCAAAAATTTGACTCCGCTAACACAATCAACATCATAAACGTATTAAAAGCATGCTGAACATCAACATTAACGCACTGTACATGCAGCAATAAACACAGCGGGAGAACATCTGTCTCATGTGATATGACAGCGCAGCACAGTGGGGGATTGTTCAAGACGGAAAAGAATCAAATAGCACCTATTCTATAAGCCATTCTCATGTGCCACTGACTTTTTGCATTGTTTCCATGCTTGTTTCTGGCATCTATGAGTTTAATTTACACTGGTGGACAGATATTACTTTGAAACTGGGAGGGTTTGACTTGCGTTATTTGCTGCAACAAACATCCTAACCACATTAAAGACTCTTTCAATTATGCTTCATGTACTGCACCCTCATGGTAAACTTTATAGTGGCGAAAAAAAGACTAAAGCTACAACTCCTACTCTTTAAGTACAAAACATTACCAAGCACACACACTGAAACATAAACCGTTGCGTCATGCTTGATGAGAAAGGGAAAGGACAATAATTGAAGCCCAAATGGCTCCGTCTGAGGAAAAAAAGCTAAAGAAACTCACACCTAGCAACCATACATTACAATTCAGCTTGTTTACAGGGTCACATGACCTTAAAGAAGGGGCTTTCTAGCGTTTCACTTTTACTCCACAGAGGGGAAAAACAGAGAAATTGAGCAACTCGCAGACTAAATCATGTGCGACTCCACCTCATTTCCCTTCCTGTGCCTCAAAACTCTGACTCAACGGCCTGAAGCCCCCAAATACGGTCTTTGAGTAGCCCGATGTCGAAATCCACCAAAAGCAGACGGTGTTGCCAAGGAACCACTATTCTAGGAGATGATGTCATAGCTTGGTAAGCATTGACTGACAAATGCATGCTGCTTCAGCCCACCTTTACTTTACACAGTAATATTTCTTTACTGGTAGAAATACTACTGTATAAGAAGTGTTTCTGAAATCACCCCTATACCCTCATCGACTATTCCTTACATTAGTCCACTTGAAGGAGTGAATGAAAATGAGTGGGTGATTCAGACACTGAGTGCATGAGAAAAGCTGCAGCTTTTGCATTGTTTATGCTTGCGGTTTAATAATCATTTAAAACTTAGCAAATCGGCAGCTCCATTAGTAAACTGAAAAGAAACTATAAACCTAGATTAAACAATTTAATAATTAAAAAGGAATTTATACCTTTGTGATATTACACTGTACCCACATTGGACCAACGATTTGTAAAATGGATGGATGGTTCAGCTGCGGCGCCATCTTCTGGTCAGACGGGGGACTTCATTTGGCACGCCACTCACAGTGCATTTTAGGTATTCTCTAGCATTTGAGCATACATCGGTCATACACTGGTTTTTGCAGTGCATTATGGGAATGAATGACCCCTGAGGTGCGTTTCCCGAAAGCATCGTTTGCCAACTATGGTCGCAAGTTCCGTCGTTATCAGCATAGTTAAACGAGTCAGTGTTTCCCGAAACAATCGCTCCAACGAAAAATCGCAACCAGCATCGCAAAGTTGTGTGGTTTGAACGACAGCTCTCGACCTATGGTTAGAGGCTTTCTATATTGCATCACATTTGGACGTAATAAATCCTTAACTTGAGCAAAATACACAAGCTGACATTCAGTACAAACGGTGCCTTTTATTTAAAATACATACAAAAGTAATTTACGTCTTTTCGTTTTTCAAAAGATTTAAAGTACTGATTTTGAAGAGTGCGCATGTGTGCTCTACTATATACGAATAGGGTTGGGTTTTTGAACGATTTTGAACGATTCTGATTCCGATTCCGATTCCTTGTTTCGATTCCGGTTCCTAACGATTCTCGATTCCGATTCTTTTAAGAGGCAGGGTCAAAAAAGTTTAGCTAACCTTGCTAACCAACGGCCTTTCTGAAGGAAATACTCCTTCTGTAAAAATGCTCCTTTTGTCACAAATTTTGCATTTTGCCGAGATTTCGTTATTTTTAGAAAAGTGAAGCCACACTTTGGATCGCCGACGTAAGGTACTCATGTTCGACTCGCGTGGTTATGCCAACACTTCCGGTACACACTTCTTCGTTGGTGTTGTTCAGTGGTTTCTTCTTCCGCTCGGTGGACTGTGAATATCGAAACTAGGAATCGAAATTTTAACTTTTGAACGATTCCGGGAAAAACGAAAAGTTAGTCTCGGTTCCAATCGATACTCGATTCTCGATACCCAACCCTATATACGAACGAGCCAAATATTGAGTCTGCTAATAAAGCAAAATAACTGAGAACAAATAGAAATAGTCCTCAGATGACATGTCTGTAATTTATATATATATATAAAAAAACTAGCGTTAATTGGATCTCGAACAGTTAGAAAAGTAGTTATTACTCCACCAAACGCGAAACCAACATGGTTGAACGATACATTGCGACAATGGGTTTCGGCAAACAGTCGTGACTAGCTAGTTGATTTCTCCAAAGATGCATCGTACTATGGTGGTGAAGCAGCGAACTACATAGTTGTATGGGAAATGCACCCCAGTATGGTTTCGGAGACCACTACAAATGGCTGTTCCCTCAAATAACCCTATTTAAGGGTTTAGGGGATGGTTTCGGACACAGTAAACACTGAATACAGCTATTTCTAACAAAAAGGGGTTAATTAGCCATGCAGTGATGCCTATAATGGATAATCCAGTGAATTAAATTCTTTACAAATGAAAAATACACTATTTTATTTGATTATTTAACTTTACCCAAAAGATGAGATTATTTATAAATGAACAAAATATCAGTTTAAGAACAGCTGCTTCACATCGTATAACACAGACAGAAAAGACCTACAAGAGTAATAATAACAACATCTTAAAAGCCAATATACAAATCGTAATTGTACAACATTTGATATACACAACCCTGTAATCGCTCACGAGTTGAATTCCACATTAATGCACCAATTTGAGATGTTGATTTGCTAGTTGTCTCGACGACATTGCTAAATTCATTTTTTTTTTTTGATTTCTACCATTGCAAGGTATTGTCATTCTCTCCAGCTCTACGTCAAGATGTTGATGCTGAGCTTTCATCTACTTGCCAGAGTCACTATAGATCAAATCAGCATCATGTTGTCATTCATCAACCTGAACTTTCTTGGATGAAATTCCACTAAATTCTCTACACGTTGCTAAACTATATTAAAATATGAGTTTCAGTTGATGTTCTGGGCACACAATCAGTTGTAGGCTCATCTAGTTTGACTTCAAACTTTGTTAACTTTGCAGACATGCCCACTGAACACAATATTGCAGAGCCTTGAGAACAAATCAACTCAGAATGAGTCGACTAAGCTGAAGAATGAGACTTTCCACAAATCCACACAAACTAATCACAGACTTTGTTAAAAGCAGACGGAGAAAATCTCAGCCGTAATTTGCATTTAAACAAACAACGTTTGAGGCACGTGCATCTGAAATTGTGGCTCTCTGAAAACTTTAAAGGAGTAGTTCACTGAAGAACATCAACCTCAAAGCACATCAAATATGCTTTTGTTTTGTTCGCATGTTTTAGTGAAAGAATAGAAAAAAAGGTTTGGAAGGACAATGATTTTTTTAATTCCTATAAGTTAAAGGGATAGTTCACTTTGAAATACATTTTTGGTATGTTTTAGCACATCCAAGATGTAGGTGTCTTTAATTCTACAATAGTTTCAATTGTGATATTTTTAGGTCAAACCGTTCTTGTCTGTCAGTCTTATAATGGAGGTCTATGGTCACCACCTCAAAGTCCAAATTAAACATGATTTAATGACTCGTAAATGTAAGTACACATTGATGGGCTAAGACATGAAACGAGCGGTTTGTGTGAGAAAACGAACAGTATTTATATTGTTTTTACCTCTTGTAACCACAGCCACGTCTAAGTGATGTGAGAATGTGGGCGCTTTGGTAGGCGCCGTAAGTGATCTCTTCGGAAGTGAAGAAGAGTTTGCGCGAGCATACGTAATTGTTTTCTTTTATGACGGTTTAAACATCCTGGATAAGCGCAAATGAGTACCATTTTAATTAGCCGTCTTACCGACAATCTTTTTTCTGTGTAAACATTGAGTGACGTACAAACGCGAGAGATGCAGACCGTGCAGACTAAAGCGCCCGCGCCCTCAGATCACTTGGATGTGGCTGTGGTGACAAGAGGTAAAAAACTATTTAAATTTTGTTCGTTTTCTCAAACAAACCGCTCGTTTCATGTCTTAGGCCATCAATGTGTACTTACATTTACGAGTCATTAAATCATGTTTAATTTGGTCTTCTCTGTGCATGCTCTTTGAGGTGGTGACCATAGACCTGCATTATATGACTGACAGACAAGAACGGTTTGACCTAAAAATATAAAAATTGAAACTACTGCGGAAACAAAGACACCTACATCTTGGATGCCCTTGAGGTAAGATAAAACATCCCTTTAAGGCACCCACACACTATAAGATAATCAGGCAGATTTTGTGCCCAATTCTCCCCTTTGAGCAATCCTAAGTAAAGTCACGCAAATTTTCTGTAAAAAAGCAGTCCAAACTCTTTTTTTCGCCATTTCTTCTCGATATTTTTGTCTACTGTAAAGTCACGTTTGACCACGAGAGATTTTGCGAGATGTCAAGTTTGTGGTCTCTCACATTTTAAAAGTCTTTTAGTGCATGCCAGCCTTTAGAAGAATCACCTTGTGTAAGAAGCTTTGGCCCAGGGCGTCTGTGTTCAGCTTCCTGTTCGTCTTCTGTACTCCCTCCGTAATCGCTCTCTTCTCCAGGACTCTTATCTGCCGCAGTCTCGATCGCCTCGTGGTCTTCACACTCTGTCTTTTTCTTTCTAAGAGAAAACATTAGGTACAACATGTTAACAAGACATGTGCATTGAAAAAACTTGTTCCGTTCTGCGCTCGGTGGGAAGTTTCCGTGATTTGTTTTAATATTCACAACCATTCATAAGTTTAGGGTCACTTTTGAGTTTCTATTCATCCTAAAAAATAAAAATTTATCACGGTTTGCACAAAAATATTATGCAGCACAGCTGTTTTCAACATTGATATTAAAAAGTAATGTTCCTTGAGCAAATCAGCATATTAGAGTGATTTCTGAAGCATCATGTGACTCTGAAGACTGGACTAATGATGCTGAAAATTCAGCTTTGATCTAAGGAATAAATTACATTCTAAAATATAATAAAATACAAAACAGCTACACTGCAAAAAATAAAACCGTAATTTTTATGGTAAAAAAACGGCAGCTGTGGTTGCCAGAACTTTACCGTTAAAAATACGGTAGGAACGTTAATGGTTTTACAGACTTAACTTAAAATTTACAGTAATAAACCGTATTTCATTTTCTGATAAAATGTTGATTTACTTTTGAAAATTTTATATGTTTTGTACCATTTTAATACACTGACAACCAACAATCATCATAGCAGTGATGAGTTACATGAGCAATCAAAGCTCATCACAAGTAGACTTCCATTAGAAATTGAATACTTATATAAAGAAGCTGCACAGTGTCATTCACACAAACGTTAAACAAATGTGTGGTAACACACATGAAATAAAAAAAAATGCAATAAACATTAATTTAACAACATTAAATGTAACATAAAACCAAATGAACATAACTGATTTATTAAAAAAAAAACCAAGAAAATTATGAGGAACCATAGTTATTTCAACAAAAATACATACAATGTGAAGTGTCACACAGGGAATGTCAATTTACGATTTTTCTCTCTAAATAATACAATGAGTTGTTCTTTTTCACTTTCAAAAACTGTAAATTTAACGGTATTTTACAGTAAAGTTATATCACAGTTATTTACTGTGTATAGCACAGAAACTTTCTGTTAACCAATTAGTAGCATTTTTACCGTTAATATTTCTCAACATGGCTCTTTTAAAAACATTAAAATAAGTTATCGATCCCAATCATGTGAGTGGCAGTGTACAAATAGGCAGAACAATTTGTTTGAAATCATTATTTTTGCATTTCTTTCAGAAGTAGTAAATGCCGCAGAAAGTAAGGCCTGTTCACAACAAGGATGATCACTAACATAGATACAGTTATTTTTGCTATTTTTAAAGCAGAAAAGTACATATTGTGCCTTTAAAGTGACAGACAAGCAAAGCTTAGAATAAATTGGTATGAACATTAATATAGTCTTCATAGTTATCATTCTTGGTGTGAACGGGCCTTCAGACTCTACTCCTTTGATTACTATTTAAGCGTCTTAAATCAAGAGCACAATGCAGATGGACTGAACCTTTTCGGGTTTGTACCTAAACGTTTTAACGTTTCTATCTTGCTACAATTGTCAACAAGGAGCTTATTGCTATCATTTTAAGTTTTGTTTTACACCAAAACACACTAATTATAAGCACAGCTAGCAAAGTGATATTCTGGACTGGAACTGGAAGTGATATTTATCAATGCAATTTTAATGGAAAAATCAATGGAATTTTTTTTTTTTTTGTGACACGTGACACATATCTTTACCTCAGTTGATTCTCTTCTATAGATTCTTCTAGCTCTCTGACTCTCTCCTGCAGGGCTCTGAGTTTGGCTTTCTTCTCATTTAGGACCAGCACAAAACGACTGTACAGGTCTTTCTCCAACGTCTCCTTTCCCTGGACGTATCTTTCCATCCTGTGGAGAGGGTAAAGACCAATGAGACACACCCAAACAGTCTCCCTGGTCACACAGACATCTGATCGCGTGGAAATGTTTAGCTATGAGAGTGTTTTTATTACTCACTATTTTGTGTGTGTGGTATAAACACTATTACTTACTATGGAAAACTTTAAGAGCGTCTTTGAACTCAGCCACCTGTGGCAATTGTTTGCAAAGTACACACACGCCAATAAAGTGCCGTCAGTGTTGGGAAGCAATGCTAATTCCCTATAATTCTGGTTTTGGGAGATTTTAGAAAGTGTGGCAGAACAGTCTAGTCAGTGATGTCACTGCTGTTGTTTCTCAAAGAGGAAAGACTGAAGCACATGGGGAACAAGAAAAGAAAGTAAAGACAAGCTTCTCATCATCAGGTTGGCCCGGGATTCCCTTGTGCGCTACAATCCACTCATCCGGAATGCGTCATATGCCCTAGATCAGCAAAATAGACGGTGTTCGCACATCTATAGTTCCCTATTTTAACATGAGTATCACAGCAAACACAAACTAAAGCCATCTTGTGTATTTGGACTTCCTTAGTAACTAAGTAAAAATGCAAACAAGATGATCTTTCATTTTGAATCATGGAAGATCATGAGGAGGGGAAAGGGTAAAACATGAGGAAGATGTAATCATGAACAGGTGAGAGGCTTGTGTAATCACAATAATGTTTGATTAGTTTTGGACATAAACAAAAAAAAAATGGTTGTGTATGTTCCCAGAAACAAAGAAACAAATCGAGAGCATATTCCTCATGGTCGAGGTTTCAAGCAACAAAACATCATTATTGAGTTTTAAATAACAGTTTTAAAACCTAAAAATCATTAAAATATAGAATCAATAGCCATTCAGTATTAGTGTAACTGAAAGCTATGCATTTTAACATTTATTAGGCTTTAAAGGGGTCAAAGGATGCCCATTTTCCACAAGCTGCTATGATTCTTAAGGTTCTCCAAGGAAAGTTTGTAATATACTTTGGTTCAAATTCCTCAATGGTTGTGTAAAACAACACCCTTTTTACCTCCTAAAAAAAAACTCCCGTTTCGGTGCATGTCTCTTTAAATGATAATGAGCAACTGCTCACTCCACCCCTCTCTTCCTGGGGCGTGGACACAAGACACTGCTGCCATGACAACCTGCTCTGCAGAAACAGTATACAAATGGCTGAGGGAGTAAATATGCTAATACGGGACAGTCCGTCATCGGTCGTGGGCGGAGCATGAGCAATGACATCATATTGCTCAGAAAATCCAAACGGTTTGATTATTGAGTGTTTCTGTTTAGGCTTTTTGAGGAGTGAACGGAGTTTTTTCATTGTATAGTGGTTGAGTCCACACACTGCACAGACACATTTATATGCAAACACCATTTAAAAGGGAATTTTGGATCCGATGGAATTTTTGGATCCTTTAAAAAATATAAAAAACAAATTTAAATGAACGTAAAACAATCTTCACATAAACGCCACATTAACCTGTTCCCTTCAATATATCAGGGATCAAATTTTTTCTATTGACCCAGTCATACTAGTTCAGATTTTTACTTGCCCTGTCAAAATACCCAAATTATTATTGTTTTCATTGTTTTTGACCCATGTAACCTTGTAAACTGTGCTTTAAAGGGATACTCCACTCTTTTTGAAAATACGCTCATTTTACCACTCCCCTAGAGTTAAACAGTTGGGTTTTACCGTTTTCGAATCCATTCAGCCGATTTTCTCATATTTAGTAGAATATCAGTAACCAGAGAGTTTCTGGTCTCATTGACTTCCATAGTATATTTTTTTCCTACTATAGAAGTCAATGAGACCAGAAACTGTCTGGTTACTGATATTTTTCTAAATATGAGAAAATCCATCGAATGGATTCGAAAACGGTAAAACCCAACTGTTTAACTCTGGGGGAGTGGTAAAATGAGCCTATTTTACAAAAGTGGAGTATCCCTTTAAGATTTTCAGGTAGGTCTAACAGGCAGTATATTTACAGAAATTAAATCAAAAACTTCACAGTCTGCACTGCATAATTAAATTAAATTAAATTAAATTAAATTAAATTAAATTAAATTAAATTAAATTTAATTTAATTAAATTTAATTTAATTTAATTTAATTTAATTAAATTAAATTAAATTAAAATTAAATTAAATATAGATAAATCCCTATAAACAAAAGTTATCCAGTCAAGAGCAGTGAGTAATTTTCTCTTTTTCTTTTGTTCTTCATTTATGATTATCCTTACTGACAAACAGCAGTGGGTTTAATATGCTGCTGTCACTTTAAGACCTGCCGCACATGGATGTGGATCTGAAATGCATCACATTTTCATTTAAGACTTAATTTAACTCATTTAACACTGTGCTTGAATAAGAGTGTGATTATATAATAATGTAACGAAAAAAATGTATTGCATGTGTTAGTGTGTTAATGAGGAAATTTCTTTATTCCAAACATCTGTGCGTCCAGTATTGTGAGAGTTAAATGAGTTTGGGAGTATTGATATGGTGTGTGGACCTACTCTTTGGTAATGTGTTCCTGTTCTCTCCTCAGCTTCTGGTTCTCATCAAGCAGGTGCTGGTTTTTGGCCCGTAGACGTGCGCTCTGCTCCAGGCCGTGACTAATGAGCTCCCTTATGACTTCAGTGGACTCAGGCACCGCCTGCAGTTCCACAGCGCCGAGCCTGAACTGAGAAATATAGATAATATAGAGCCAGATTAATAATAGAAGACCTTGTGCAAGCTCGCACCTGGAGGAGACACCTGCCCGTCAGCTATTAGCATTAGCATAGCTGTAGACACAAGGTAGATTGACTAAGAGAGAACTGTGCCCACAGACAGCGAGATTTATTTGTTGAGTTCGGAGATAATAATTCAATTAATAAACAGTAGAGTAAATTAATAATTAGGAAATAAAAAATGATACATTAAAAAATAAGTATATAAAAAATTCAAATATTATAATTAGTTAAAATGATATACATTTTGTAAATATACAAAGTAAATAAAATATTACAAATATAATTATATAATAATCACTCATAATAACACATAGAATGGGTGCATACATTCAAGACAAATTACTGCAAGCAAATATGTATGGCACAGTGCTATTTCAGCACAGATAGCACCTTAAAGGGGAAATGAAGCAGTGAATCAAGTTTACATGATTTACAAGATGGATTTCCAATATAATCAACAATTATATAAGGAACATTACAAATGTAAACATTTAGAAGAAAAAAAGAAAAAACGTTGTATCTTTCGCCGCCAGGGCGCCGCCATTGTGCAGGTGACGTCACGGGGTTGGTTGGCTCAAGTTTAACAGGCTCTGGGCATTGAAAATCGCGGCATCAAACTGTGTTTATACCAGTGTTTTGACCGCGAACGACTAATGTTAGGTACAGATATTAGACAAAAAGACGACGTCTCATGTTATATGTTGACAAACTGCACATAGAAACATTGTTCGCGATGTCTGCCGTCAGATATTCCCGTCTCGTCAACACCATGTAAGTTAGCATGTATTTGTTAAAGAGGAAATGAAACGTCCATATTTTCGCACTGGTAGTGCTAGTAACGTTAGCTACAGCCTACATATACTAGGAAAAAGTGTCTCCGCTCTGACATCCTTCAGGGAAAGCATCGCCGCTTCCACACGTCTAACTCCCGGCAAAGCATGGTAAACGTGCGCGCCGGTGATGCAGAATTGACCACGCAACACATGCTCAAGATCAACCTCTTGACAACAGATGGACTCTGACACGGAGGGCATCGCAGGACAACAGCCACACTGACACCTGGTAAGTTAGCGTTGCAAACCCGCTCTCCGCCCCAAACCACCACTGACTGTTCTACACAGCAACGTAACTTAACGTTACATGGTGTCGACGAGACGGGAATATCTGACGGCAGACATCGCGAACAATGTTTCTATGTGCAGTTTGTCAACATATAACATGAGACGCCGTCTTTTTGTCTAATATCTGTACCTAACATTAGTCGTTCGCGGTCAAAACACTGGTATAAACACAGTTTGATGTCGCGATTTTCAATGCCCAGAGCCTGTTAAACTTGAGCCAACCAACCCCGTGACGTCAACTGCACAATGGCGGCGCCCCGGTGGCGAAAGATACAAAGTTTTTTCTTTTTTTCTTCTAAATGTTTACATTTGTAATGTTTCTTATATAATTGTTGATTATATAGGAAATCCATCTTGTAAATCATGTAAACTTGATTCACCGCTTCATTTCCCCTTTAAAGGGATAGTTCACTTTGAAATCAATTTTTGATGTGTTTTTAGCTTACCTCAAGGGCATCCAAGATGTAGATGTCTTTGTTTCTGTAGTAGTTTCAAGTTTCAAATATTTTTAGGTCAAACCGTTCTTGTCAGTCATATAATGCAGGTCTATGGTCACCACCTCAAAGAGCATGCACAGAGAATTTCAAATTAAACATGATTTAATGACTCGTAAATGTAAGTACACATTGATGGCCTAAGACACGAAACGAGCAGTTTGTGTGAGAAAACGAACAGTATTTAAATAGTTTTTTACCTCTTGTAACCACAGCCGCGTCCAAGTGATCTGAAGACGCGGGCGCCCAGAAGTGATCTCTCGAACGTGTATGTCACTCACTGTAGTAATCAACAAAGATCTCACGCTTATCTGGGATGTTTAAATCGTCGTAAAAGAAAACAATTACACATGGAGATCACTTAGGGGCGCTTTCCGACGCAGACCCAAGCGCCCGCGCCCTCATATCACTTAGACGTGGCTGTGGTTGCAAGTGGTAAAAACGATGTAAATACTGTTCGTTTTCTCACACAAACCGCTCGTTTCGTGTCTTAGGACATCAATGTGCACTTACATTTACGAGTCATTAAATCATGTTTAATTTGGACTTCTCAGTGCATGCTCTTTGAGGTGGTGACCATAGACCTGCATTATATGACTGACAGAGCAGAACGGTTTGACCCTTGAGGTAAGCTAAAACATACTGTATCAAAAATTAATTTCAAAGTGAACTATCCCTATAAAGTAAAATGAGGGTGGATAGTGAATATAATGCTTTTGCATTACCAATTTAAGAACTCAATTCCCACCATAGGGATTTCCTGCTCAACTCTGTTTAGCACCTGGACAAACACAGAAACTCTTGTACCGATAAGACCGATAAGCCAACCACTGTGGTGAGAGCCAATGAGCGACAGCGAGTCTCTGATCCTCAAATAGATGAACTCTGACAGCATCCATGAGGGACGGGCGCTCGGCCTCTAAGTGAGTGCCAGTCTGTGAATGATAAGGGTGACTGTTCAAGACAAGAGCGCTGAAGATAACAGACCTGACAGAGACCTGAGAACACAATGAAGTTTCTGCCGTAAACGTGCTGAGACTGTCTCTTAAACACTTTTGTACTATAAATGATTCTTGGTCTTGACAGCTCTAAAGTGGGAACAATCAAGCAAATCTTTATGACCTTGTTGTGCACGACCCTAGTACTGTATGTAGTCATTAAGCACGCACTTTATCTAAATTGACTTATAAAGCACTTGCAGGAACAATCATCTTGGAGAAATGGGAAGTTAAGAGTCTTGACTAAAGGCACAATAGGTCATTGATTTTTCCTTGAGAACATTTCAGGTGCCATCAAGCTCACATACAATGAAAGCGGATGATGATGGGTGCTGTCAAGCTAAAAAAAAAAAATAAGAAAAAGCAGCTAAAAGTATTGTAAAAGAAGTCAATTCTACTCGTGCCCTCCTGAGGTCAAAGCAATGCTACGTGTGAACAACAGATTAAAAGTGATCAAATACCACCAAACTTCTTCAGAAGACTTTTAGAGTCATTTGGACTCATTTTATGGTGTTTTTCTGCATTTTTGAAATGGATTTGCAAAGACATGCATGGGGTGAATAAATGACGAAACGTTATTCATTTCAGAAGAGCTATTCCTCACCATACCGCTCAGATTTTTCATTCTACACGGTTGCATCAGAGCTGGTGTTTGCTCTTGCATTCTGTCACATTTACCACGCAATAAACCAGAGATTCAACATGGAACCTTTTCCAGCCAGAATCTGACGTACCAGCGAGCAACACACACACTGAGGTGTGTTAAATGATGAGCTAAGAACTTCCATGTCTCAGAGAGCTTGTTTGGACAGTTCTGTGTACCGAACCTGGAGAGAACTGATTCATCTGATCTCACATTGAGAAGCCACATTCTGGAGACACAGATATAAGTTAAGAAGTGGCTATATATATAATTATATGCAATTTGTATAATTGAATGTCTAGTTGAATGATATTTTATTTATATCACACAATAGGCACAGAGGGCAGCCAAACTTTAGAGCTGAAGTCAAGAGTAATACCTTTTGTATTAATATTATTAAAGGATTAGTTCACTTTTAAAAAAAAAAACTTTTGCTGATAATTTACTCACCCCCATGTCATCCAAGATGTCCACATCTTTTTTTCTTCAGTTGAAAAGAAATTAAGGTTATTGATGAAAACATTCAAGGATTTTCTCCATATAATGGACTTCAATGGGAACCAAACGGTTTATGGTCCTAATGAGAGTTTCAGTGCAGCTTCAAAGGGCTTTCAACGACACCAGACTATGAATAAGGGTCTGATCTAGGACCCTTCGAGTCATGACTCGAAAAAAAGATGTGTTCATTTTGATGAACGAGTTTGAACAGGAGAGTCACGAACGCGCATCACAGTACAGAGCAAGGCGAGCATTTGTGCTTATAAAACTTAAACTTTGTTATTTATTTTTAAAATGACTGATTGTTTCGCTTGATAAGACCCTTATTCGTCGTCTGGCGTCGTTTAAAGCCCTTTGAAGCTGCACTGAAACTCTCATTTGGACCTTGAACCGTTTGGTTCCCAATGAAGTCCATTATATGGAGAAAATCCTGAATGCTTTCATCAAAAACCTTAATTTCTTTTCGACTGAAGAAAGAAAGACATTGACATCTTGGATGACATGGGGGTTAGTAAATTATCAGCAAAAGTTTTTTTTTTTTTTTTAAACTGAACTACTTCTTTAATACAAATAGATAGATATTAATATCATCTATTAAAGGATTAGTTCACTTTTGAAAAAAGTTTTGCTGATAATTTACTCACCCCCATGTCATCCAAGATGTCCATGTCTTTCTTTCCTCAGTCGAAAAGAAATTTAGGTTTTTGATGAAAACATTCCAGGATTTTTCTCCATATAATGGACTTCAATGGGAACCGGATGGTCCAAGGTCCAAAAGACAGTTAATAACAGTTTCAGATGCAGCTTCAAATGTCTTTAAACGATATCATACGATGAATAAGGGTCTTATCATGCGAAACGATCGGTTATTTCAAAACTTATTCCAAAAATGTAACTTTTCTAAGGACAAATGCTAGCCTTGCTCTATTCTGTGAGGCGCGTTTGCAACGTCACGTATTACGTAATTACGTTCAAATGGTCACGGGCGACGTAGCCGAAAGTACAGTCAGTGTTTACAAGTTGAACGCATAGGTTGAACGTGCAAACTAGCTCAAACACCGTTTACAAAAAAAGGAATTAAAAGGAAAAACAACGATGTCGGACGATTTTGATTCTGTACTTCCGGCTACGTCGCCCGTGACCTTTTGAACGTAATTACGTATTACGTGACGTTACAAACGCGCCTCAGAGAAT